TTTTTTATAGAGACAGAGCCTTGCTATGTTTCCCAAGTTGGTCTTGAACTTGTGGCCCTCAAGCAGTCCCTTTCCTGCTAGGATTATAGGCATGAGCCACTACACCCGACCTGAGAGTTTTATAGTGGTCTACAAAAAAATGAAGAACTCGTCACAGGATGGGTTAACTGTTATCTCCTAAAAATTTAACGAGAAGAAATTGGCACAACTTCTGATTTCAATTGAGTATAAAGAAGGATTTTCTGTCATAAGGATTAAAAGTCTAGGTGGCTTGAGTCTGAAGACTTAATACAAAATAGTCAACAACGAAATACAGAGCATACACTCTCCCCATTCTTCTTACTCACAACAAGAATCCATGAGGCGTATCTAAGAAATAGTATTGGAAATAAAAGCACTATAGGTAATTTCAACAGTGAAGCATCTATTAGTCAAGCAAAAATATAAATCTGATATATCTGAATCATTTAAATACAAAATAAACTTTTAAGCTCAACAATACATGTTTTCTCACATAGATAGCTTCTGGTGGCAAAGAGCGGAGATATGCTAAGGAGGTAGGGAAGGATCAATCTGTGAAAGATCTTGGGGAGCTGATGGTGAAGGAAACAAAAACCCTGGCATTTGCTGCCTTGCTATGTTGGTGCTCAGCCTCACCAGAAACTGGACAGGCCCTTTGTTTGTTACTGCTGCTAAAGGCTCTCCCATTTTTATTGACTTATTTTCCACTTGCCCTAAGGTTTTAAAATGCACATAAACAATGACACGTCAAGAGGAATGGAGTTTGTCATTTCTATTACCTGTGTCTTTATGTGCTTTGTTTCCTTAGTAGGAAATACCATTTTTTATTGCCAGAGATTCTCTTCATATGTTTGAATACATTATCTTTTTTTAGTACCAGAACTACTACTTGCATATACCACCTTATCTTTACATTGTGAGTTTTATTTTTAGAGCCCTAAATTTGAATCACTGATCAAACTTTATCACTTTTTAGACCTTAATGAATCCTCCATTCCTAGATGGTTATTGGAAATGGGTATTATTTATCTCCATGGATATGACAAAGAAGGTAACAAATTGTGTAAGTACATTTAATTTATGTACTGGGTTTTCAAGATTTTGGGATGTTGGTATCTATCTCAGATAAATTAATAATCAGCAGAGCTTTCCCCATATATATAGCCCACATCAGGTCTCCTGCAATTAAGGGTCAGTAGAGCCAGTGTTAGACACTTCGTAGTTGTGTATACTGTTTGTTTTATAATAAAGTAGGCAACAAAGGCAAATGTTGTATCCTGTAACACATTATTTGATTCAGATTCATTATCTTCTTTCTAACTTGACTGTGATATTAAAATTCAACTCAGTATTTTTATAGAGTCTTTTTGACTAAAATTTGCTAATGGGCTTTTTTTTTTTTCTTTGTGAGTCTTTGATAGTCTTCCCTTAGCTTTTTCTGAAATGTGTGTAATAACAGAAGGAATGGCAGCAGTCACTTCTGTTGTTCAGATGACTCTCTTGTGCCTTCTCCCTCTTCCCCAAGATCTAGCTTGGGAAGGCTGGGTTTGGCAGGTGTGTTCCCGTCCCATACTGGACAGACATCCCACACTCATCTTGGTTGCCTTCTCCATGGCATGTCAAGTGTCCTCCTTTCACCATCACATCCTTTTTAACCTTTTTTTTTTTTTTCCTTTCTCTTCTTTTGCCTGTTCCTTAAATATGTTTCCCCGGCTTCATTCCTTTCTTGGCCTCTTTCATACTTTCCAGGTGATACATTCTCCTTGGGTGATTTTGCATATCTTGGCAGCTTCAGCTACCCCCCCCTCCACACCATGGCCAGGGCACATGTATGTCCCCAGCTACCTGATTCCTGAATGCTACCCGATTTAGTCACCTTCAGCACAACACACAACTAAATACCCACATTCTGCCACTTGCCCACTTTCTATATTGGCCACCTCAGGCACACTCACTGGCTCTTTTTCTAATACAGCTTCAATTACGCCCCTTCTCCATCTTCACCAGCCACGTCCTCAGTCCCATCCCTTACTACTACTGCTTGTCCCCAGGTCCTTGCCAGGTCACAGCCTCCTCCACTCTGCCCTCAATGCTTCTGCCCAGAGGTGCTGTACGACAGGAAAATATTTTTTTAATTAAATCATTGCTGTGTACATTAATGCACTTATGGGGTACAATGTGCTGGTTTTATATACACTTTGCAATACAATAGACTGGTTAACATAGCCTTCACTAAGCACCTCAGCATTTCAGGCCCAGCCCCAGCTCTCCATTTAGCTTCTCCTCTCACCATTCATCATGTTTCACCTCAGCTGCCACCACTGGAACAGTTTGTCATGTTCTGCCCACATGCAGGTACCTACCTGTGCCTCCATCACACCTGTCAGTGTCTCTCCTTTGGACCAAATGTTCTTTCTAGTGCTTGACAGAACCACGGGCTCTCTTTTTGTTAAGCAGTGAAGAGCAGTTTTAGTGTTTGTTCACCTGTGTTTTCTTTCCCCCTTACTTACAAGTGAAGTTTATTTCCTAAGGGAAAGAAAAAATAGTTTACCCCTGTTACTCTTTGAGGTTCCCAAGTACAGATATTTCTTATGTAAAAGAAGTAAGGGGAGTGGGGTTGAAGAAGAAATTTTGAAAAGAACAGAAGAAAGATTTTTTAATCTAAGAAACAAAATAAATTATAAATGAAAGAAAATACCCAGGGAAAGGATACATGCATACATACAAGGTGTCCATCAAGTTTGTGTGCAGTTTAAAATAGGTGTCTTTTAAATTGCACACAAACTTTATAGGCGCCCTGTATATAATAATATCATAGTGCCATAAATCTTGTTCTTAGTTTTGTCTTCTGTTTAAAGTCTGGATCAGGGTGAAGTATCATACAAAAGACCAGAAAACCATATCGGACAAAAAAAAACTCATAGCATTCTGGTTAGAACGTTATGCTAAGAGAGAAAATGGGAAGCCTATCACAGTGATGTTTGACCTGTCAGAAACTGGAATAAATAGCATGGTAAGTATTTTTTTCATTCATTCTAAATCATTGTTTATCCTGGCTTCCTTCCTCCCTCCCACCTGTCCTCCCTGCCAATCAAATATTGCTGTAGAATTGAGCTAACTAACTTAGATTTGGGATTTATTTTATTACCCTTGCAATGTCAGTGTAGTCAAACATGAAATAGGGTTTGCAGAGAATTAGGTTTGCTTCAGTATTTGGCATTGAAACTGTGAATTTCCTAGAAATGTTCCTTGTTTGACATGCAGTATGTAGAGGTAGAATATTAAGGCTGGCAGGGTATCGGCTGATGTGATAACAGTGAACTTTGTATCAAAGGTAATATCCTATGGCACCCACCCCTGTGCTTGGTGCACAGTAATACATTCAGTAAATGTCAATAAGGTAATGTATGAGCTCTAATTTGTTATAGTCAACCATGTTTTGCAGTTGCAAAATGTGCACATGAGTTTTGCATGTGTGGTATTTTGTGATTTTGTAGGGTGTTTTTATTTGCTTGCTTGGATTTGTTTTCTGTTTGTTTGATTTGGTTCTGTTTGTTTGATTTGGTTAACTTTTAAAATCCACCAGTCTTTGAGTCCTTGTGAACTTAGTGGTACCTACAGACCCTTCAGCAATTGAGATCAGTTGGCATATTTATTGTAAATGTTGTCTCTTACATTTAAATCACAGCTAATTCTAGTAGCAGTAAAGTGGCATTAGAAGTGCTCAAAGCAGTGTTGATATTTTTTGGAATTCCATTTGGCAAAGTATGTTAAGAATTCATACTCTTTGCCTTGTAACTAATTACTAGAAATCTAAAGAAAATAGCCCTGAGTACAGAAAAAAACATTGTGAGCCAAAATGTTTTTTGGGGGGAGAAATTAGAGAAAGTATAAACAAACAATGTGGCAAATGGTACATTATGGTATATCTAGCTGATGGAGTATGCATAACTATAATGGTGTTTAAAAAGAATTCTTAGTAGTATTATGGAGTACCCTTTTTTGAAATGAAAAAAGACTATGTTTGTCTATACTGTAATATGTTATGTATACTGTGACATAGTTTTACATAGCCCCCACAAAGGAAACTGTAGGTAGACATAATAAACAAAAACAGGCTGGAGACAACTGTTAATAAGAGTTCTTTTTAGGTGGTAGGACTATAGATTGTTTTTTCATATTTCTGTTTCTCTTTTTTATTTTTTAAGAGTCCATTGCCCTGGATTTTTCCAACCTAGTTTCCGTGTCAGTGGGTTTTAAATTACATAGTAACTTATTTTTATATTGCAAATCAAAATCAACTTGCCCAGATGAGTAAATATTCCATAAAAATAAATCATGATTCTGTTATCTATGGATTTGATAGTTTCTTAATTATTAACCCAGAATCATAAATAAAAAGTTAATGTTTGCTGCTGCCTAATATAGAAGCAACGAATTGACTTGAGCTGTCTGAATTTTCTTTTCTTTTCTTTTTTTTTTTTTTTGAGACAAAGTCTCACTTTGTCCTCCTTGATGGAATGCTACAGCATCATAGCTCACAGCAACCACAAATTCTTGGGCTGAGGCTCTTTCCTCAGCCTCCCAAGTCGCTGGGACAACAGGCACCCTCCACAACACCTGTCTATTTTTAAAGATGAGATCTCCCTCTGGCTCAGGCTAGTCTCAAACCAGTGAGCTCAGGCAATCCACCCGCCTCAGCCTCTCAAATGCTGGGATTACAGGCATAAGCCACCACGCCCAGCATTAGCTATCTGGATTTTGAGACGGAGCCTCAAGCTATCCCCCTGGGTAGAGTGCCATGGCATCACGCTCACAGCAACCTCCAACTCCTGGGCTCAAGCGAGTCTCCTGCCTCAGCCCCCCAAGTAGCTGGGACCACAGGTGCCCGCCACAACGCCTGGCCATTTTTTGGTTGCAGCCATCATTGTTGTTTGGCGGGGCCGGGCTGGGGATTCAAACCCGCCACCTTAGGTGTATGTGGCTGGCGCCTTAGCCGCTTGAGCCACAGGCGCTGAGCCGCTATCTGGATTTTTTAAAGCTACTTTCATGATATCTCACTGTCTTTAATTAATAAATATTTAAGTCATTATTAATGTTTTAAAATACTCAAATCTCTTTAAAATTTTTATTTCTGTATTTGACCCTTTTTTTTTTTTTTTGGTAGAGACAGAGTTTCACTTTATCACCCATAGTAGAGTGCCGTGGTGTCACACAGTTCACAATAACCTCCAACTCCTGGGCTCAAGCGAGTCTCCTTGCCTCAGCCTCCCGAGTAGCTGGGACTACAGGCGCCTGCCGCAATGCCTGGCTATTTTTTTGTTGCAGTTTGGCCGGGGCTGGGTTTGAACTCGCCACCCTCAATATATGTGGCCAGCACCCTGCCCACTGAGTCACAGGCACTGCCCCTATGTAACCCTTTTGTGATTCATAAAGGATTTAAATCAGCTTTAGGATTTAAAGGATTTAAATATGTGTACAAAATTGTAAGGCAAAAAATGAGAAAATTATTCTTTAGAGTTGGCTACCAGTTTGACTCAGCTTTCTACTGCTTGCCTGAAAGAAATGCACTCATTTAAAATTATTCAGTGGCCATACTTTAAAATCAGTGTGTTAGAAGTGTTTCCATCCATTTCTGACACTTGAACTAGAGACAAAAGTCTTTCATGGGTCCGCAAAAGGAAGACATTTTACAAGACAATGAATAATGTCCTTGAAAACGTCCCCGTAGAATGCTTAGCAGTAGGTTTCATGGAGCTATTTTAGGTAGTGCCCAGTACTAGACATGCAACAATGAGTGGCAACTTATCAAATCCTCTTAAATGAGCAGTAACTCAAAATTTTATGAGCCAAGATACTTCAATTAAATAAATGGTAAAAGAATATTAGACAACTATTTAAGCAAAGTTTCTAGGGGCCACAAATGATAAACTAGGTAACCAAATTTTTATATAACTAGCTCTTTTTAGCTATTTTGACATTTAACTATAAATTATGAAACTCCATTTAACTCATCATTAAATATAATGATTAGTTAGAAAGGTATTATTACATAGTAAGGTTTATCTTATAAAAATACTTAAAATAGTTAAGGATGCTACTTTCAGTTTACTGCAATTAAAGATGCTGGAACTCACCAGCTATGGATGACTCTCATCTCTAGGGCAAACCCAGCTTTGAATAATTGTGATGGGCTTAAGTTTACCTGGTCATATCTTTCATCCTATAGTCTTTATAAGATAGCCAGTCAGGATTAGTGAATCACCATGTGGGCATAGAATGGCATAGAATGAAATGACCCATATGAATTGAATAGTAACACGAATGACCTAATTTCTTATTGCTGTGCTCAGAGTAATAGAACCAAACAGACAGCTATGTTTATAGTCTCCCAGAAATTGGACTCAATGAACACTTGAATACAAATTAAAAACCTAATTCTAGGTATGTAAATTAAAAAACTAATTGTAGGCTCGGCACCTATAGCTCAACCGGCTAAGGCACCAGCCACGTACACCTAAGGTGGCGGGTTCGAATCCCCAGCCCGGACCCGCCAAACAACAATGACGGCTGCAACCAAAAAATAG